GAACAAATTAGATAAGATTTATACGCATTATAATTTATAATTGCATTAAAAAAAGATTTTTTATACAACAAAACACTTCAATTTAGGCGTAAAAATCTGATTTAATTTTTGGAAGATTTTTTTTTTCGTTGGCCAATCAAAACTGTTTTTTTATTGGTTTAGTACATAGTATTTTTTTTACCGATCTTATTATGGGAAATAAGTAATAAGTAAATAAATAAAAATATTGATAGAAATCATACAATTTATGAAAATACTGCTTCAGTATTTGGAGATTTATAATTTATAATTGCATTATCGCATCTATATATGGAGGTATAATGTGAAGGAAATCATATCAGATCATTATATGTAGGAACCAATCAAACCAGATTTATATCACACTACAATTTATAATTGCATTAAAAAAAGATTTTCCAATAAAATACTTCAATTTATGCGTCAAATCTGATTTAATTTTAGAAGAATTTTTTTGTTGATCGATCAAAACTTTTTTTTTATTGGTTTAGTAATAAGTAGTAAGTAATAGAATGCATTAGATAAAAAATAAGTAATAATGACATGATTGGTATGAGAGAATGACATGAGAATGGAATGATCATTCCTTATACGTTCCTTATCCCATGATTAGTATATTTTTTGGAATTGAATGATCATTCCAATAGAAATGACAAAACCCATCTCCATGGGATTAGTCATTCCAAAGTTCATGGAATGTTTTCTCATTCAAATGTGTGTAGGAATCAAGTTTTCAAAAAATAAAATTAACAAGTAATAATAAAAAAAATAAATATATAATATATATTATAAATAATGATTAAAATATATTAAATAAAGTTATTTTAAAAAATAAAATTCAAATAAAAATATTGAAAACTTACTTTTATTTATTGTTTAATTAGATATATTAAATACTTATATAAAAATAAAACTAAAAAAAAAAGAATTTATATATAATTTGAAAATATGTTATTTTATTTTTATATATAATAAAAAATATATTATTTTTTATATATTAAAAATATATTATTTTGAAAAATATATTAAAAAATGTAAAAATATATATTATCAGAAATATATTACTTTTATTGAAAATATATTATATTAAAGATTTAAATTCAAATAAAAAAATTGAAAACTTACTTTTTTATATTGTTAATTTAAAAAATAAAAATATATATTACTAAAAATCTATTACTTTTTATATTTATATATTATTAAAATATTTTATTCGTTATATATTAAAAATATATTATTTGATTTTTATATATTTTTAAAAATATATTATTTTTTATATATTATTTTATTTTTATATATTATTAAAAATATATTATTATAAATTTATATATTATTAAAAAACATTTATAAATAATTTATTAAAATAATATTTTTTTTTAAAAAAAAACTCTTATTTATTTTTATAATAAAAATTAATAATGTCATTCCATTAAGGTTATATTCCTTCTGCATACCAGACGCATCAATGACCAAATTTGTTTCATTCCATTCCTACCACATTTTATTCCATTCTACCAATTAAGACTTAAGTATTAAGTAATAAGTAATTAAATAAAAATATTGATGAAAATAGAATGCATTAATTGTCCTTGGTCTTTTCTACCTACTAATTTTAGTAAATAGGATGACTTATTATATAAGTATAAATTTTTACATTAAATAATTTCCTAATAATTGTATACCAAAAATTAAAATATATATTAACTATTCTTCAAGAAATTTACATGTGATTTATTTGTAAATTATTGCGAGCTATGATTAAATTTTTAGCTTTTTTTTTTCATTGCCCTTCCACAATTAAATTATTCTAAAACATATTTATATTTTTTTTTATCTGTTTTTTTCTTTTTCATTTCTTTCCACAGTGAAATTATTCTAAAACATACTTATATTGTTTCATATGTTAAATGAACTATAAAGTTGAGGACGAAAATTAAAAAAAATAAAATAAAAAATCTATTGATTATAAAAGAATTTATTTTTTGACAATTCTTAAATCTATTTAATTTTAATGATAAAATAAATTTTAATGCATAATAGCAAAAAAATTAGGATGACTGTTGGATTAATTGGTTTATTAAAATGAATAAACCTACAATGTGTAATTTTTTATGAGATCATTTTTATTTTTCTAGTTATTATGTTATACCACAAATGCCAAAAATTGTATAGAATCACATATACATATTTTGTATAATATTTATAAACAATATTTTATTTTAAATTTACTTATATGATTTTAATTATATTTAATAAATAATATTAACGTAAATTAAATGTTTTTCATTACATAAAATAAAAAAGAAGAAGACTACTATAACATTTATCAATACTAATGACAATATGACAACAAATTTTAAAATAAATTAATAACTGAATAATATATGGTGAAGAAGAATAATAGTTTTTATATAAAAAAATATATATACTAAAATAAATCCTATATATTATAAACTTGATAACAAACTCACTCGCCCCAAATCTCTGCCGATAAAACCCTCGCCCCAAATCTCTTCAACTCGAATCCTTCGATTAACTTTCGTCGACCTTCCATAGTAGCCATCAAACTTCGCCGGCGGTCGCCGGCCCTGGAATGTTTGGTTTTCTGCCCCTTAATTTCCGCTTTGCTACCCGTGTTCCATGGAGTTGGAACTCGATTGGTCTTCGACTTTTCCGGCTCCGACTCGTCGATTCTGGATGGCGAATTTTATGTTGGGTGGTGGTGGAGCCGTGGTGCTGTTCTGGAGGCAGGATGCGTCTCAATTGCTCGGCGTCCTTTTTGTTTGGGTAATTGGGTCGTTGTTGCTGTTCGAGGTCATCTTCCCAGGTACTCGGCTTTTGTCGCAGGGGTCGTGGCATCCTTTCGTCTGCCACTGGTGTTGGTCGGAGTGATGATGCGGCGGTGAGGTGGCTTTGGGCAACTTCTAAACAATTTGGGTTGTGGCTGGGGCCATGGCACTCTTTTGTCCGTTCGAGACAATCCGGTGATGTGGTCGTGGTGCGGGGTGGCTTGGTGTAGCTCCGGGGTTAGGGCTTCGACACCGTTAGACAACCGATTGGTTTGGGCAGTTTTGGGGTCGTTTCTTGTGGCTACGGGACTCACAGTCGCTTTGTTTCCGTTGGTTCGATTAGGTGTCGCTACATTGGAAGGGCTCGTTTAGTTTTGTTGCTTTTGTTTTGTTTTGCTTGGTAGCTTCGTGCTTTTGTGTGTTATTTCGGTTGTGTGGTCGTGTGTTTTTTGGTCTGGGCCATTTGGCCTCTGTTCGCCTGAGTGTCAAACTTATTATCCTGTTGGGATCCGACACTCAGGTATTCTCCTATTGGGAGCTTTTTAGTTTTTAGTTCTTAGTGTTTGTCGTGTGTTTTTGGTTTCTAGCGTTGCTAGTGTCGAGATTCTAGGCGGTCGTCAGACCTGTCCTCCCATTTTATTCTCTCGTTGGAAGCTTTGTACTTTTATTCGCACTTTGTGCGTTTTGATTTATAATAGTTCCTCTATCGTTCCGAAAAAAAAAGGTTCTAGATAAACAAAAATAGTTGCGTGCCCAAGTGGTGATGCTTGGTTGGCGTTGTTCAACCTCATCCCCTTAATGGATTGTGTTTTCGAGCCCTCCAGTGTTAATAGTCAGAGTTGTTGTGGTGTCCCCCTCACTCGGTGTTGAAGATCTTCGAAGCCCAGATCTGCACCTACAATTGCCTCCTCGCCATATCTGTCTAGGCGGTTAGAGTTGATCTCAGTTTTTGAATTTGAAGTTTAGGTTTGTAGCTTTGTTCTATTTTTGTGGCAGGTTGTGTGTTTCGAGTACCGATTTGGATGGTTTTTTCGGCCTGTCTGCTAAGTGTAGGTGAGGTATTAGTCTATTATTTAGGTGTGTATCGTTCGCCTTTCTCTTTGTAGTTTTTCGGTTTGTTTAGTTCAACGGCGTCTGATTTTTGTCTCCTTTATGGAGTTAGTGTCTCCGTTTTGGAATATTGTATTAGCGGGTGTTGTCTCTTATATGGAGTTTGTACCCCTTGGTCGTCTGTGTAATTCCAAAGGGGTTGGTCCAAATTTTTTAGTTCTAGTGTGTCATTTGATATGTCGATTGTACCTGTTTGAATTTTGCAGTTTAATATATTTGTCGTTTGAAAAAAAAAAAGTAGATATTGGCCTATTGCATATAAATGGGGTTAGTGATGTAAACGAACCGAAACGAACCGAGTTTGGGCTGTTCGAGTTCGTGTTCGTTTACGTTTAAACAGTATTCGTGTTCGTTCATTTATTTTTCGAGCACAAAATTTTGTTCGAGTTCGTTCGTTTAATTGTTCGTCAAAGTTCGAGTTCGTTCGTGTTCGAATAATTTAATATAGACTTTTTAAATATGCTCGATTGACTCGAAATTCGAACTCGAAAATAAAAGAACAAAATAAAAGTAATTTATTATATTATATTTTTTATTAAAAATATTATGTAAATATATAGAAAATAAATAAATTATATTAAATTTTAGGTTTTTTTCAATACAAATATTATGTAAATATATAAAAAATAAAATATAATTATATTAAATTAATGTTCGCGAACATAATCGAACGTTCACGAACAAGCTCGTGTTCGTTCGATTATTAAACGAGCCTAATTTTCTGTTCAAACTCGGCTCGATTAACAAACGAATGAGCTTTTGTCGAACACGATCGAGTTTGAATCATTTACAGCTCTAAATAGGGTGGAATGGAACGAAATATCTTGCGGGGCAACAAAGCGAACACACCCAAATCAAAAGTCCCCAGCGACGGCCATGAAAAATTAGCGGGAATTGATGGCGCCATTTTCCTCCATTACCCGAACTCTACACAATACAATATTTCGTCCATTTAACACCCATATTCTCATGAACTCTCACGCGCACTGCAAATTGAGCAGAAGATCACACTGTAGAACCTCTTCTCTCTCGATCAATATGGCTCAGGCGGCTGGAAACCCTAACGGCGTCCCCGAGACCGAGGGCCCGCTCCTGAAAATTCAAAAGATTCACGAAAACGGCGGCGTTTACGAGTGCAGATCTCAAGAAGAAGTTCCATTTTTAAGGGTGAAAAAGCTCTCTGACAAGGCAGTTTTGCCTTCAAGAGCTTCCCCTCTTTCTGCTGGCTACGATCTATCGAGGTGTGTGTGTGTGTGTGTGTGTGTTTGTGTGTTTAAATCCCAAACACAGGGAACAATCTTTTTTTTTTTTCCTTTTCCTTTTTTTTTTCAATTTATGTGGAATTGTATTTGTATGTGTGATTTTACAGTGCAACGGAGACGAAAGTCCCAGCCAGAGGCAAAGCGCTGATACCGACGGATCTCAGCATTGCTGTTCCCCAAGGAACGTACGCTCGTGTTGGTAAAGATTTTCAACTTTTTAATTTTCTCTGGATTTTTCTAGATAACTGAGTTGTATGTTTTTTGAGCTAAAATCTTGAATTTGGGCAGCTCCACGGTCTGGTTTGGCCTGGAAGCACTCGATCGATGTAGGGGCAGGTGTGATCGATGCCGATTACCGGGGCCCCGTTGGTGTGGTTTTGTTCAATCATTCCGATGTTGATTTCGAAGTGAAGCCCGGAGATAGAATCGCACAGTTGATTATTCAGAAAATTGAGACTCCTGAGGTTAGTGAGGTTGATGATCTTGATTCTACCGAAAGAGGGTCTGCTGGATTCGGATCCACCGGTGTTTGATTTATCGGTATTTGCTTAATTGGTTTGGTCTGATTTGGTTTGTGTTGTCTTATTGAGCATCAGTGTTGTTTTTTGGAGTGGGTTTTAGGCCAAGGTTTTGGTTATGGAGATTTGCAGTTTGTCTTTTTGATTGAATGTGTTGGTTTAAATTTTGCTTTTAATGGTTTTATGGGCTGTGTTTTACTGTTTAGGTAAAGCATATGCTGTGTAGGTATCTGCAATTAATAGTTGAATGAGGATTTTGTAGCAATTAGGAAAAAAACAGTAAATTTGAATGGGTTATTGTTTGTTGGATCATAGAGTCACATACATATTTTATATGAGTGTATGATGATGACTTGATTCAAGTCACCTCTTAAAAGGATTATGGAATTACCCAAGAGCGCTGGGATGAGATGGCTTGGGTCTCTTTCCACTTAACCAGTGGTCTCGAGTTCGAGTCCTGGGAATGAAGCAGTGTTAAAACTCTTGAGGGAGAGCTTTGCCGTCCTTGTGGTCCTACCCGGCTCGATTCCGGATTAGTTGGTTCCCCTGTGGATCCGGAAACCGGAAGGTCCCTGTACCAAAAAAAAAAAATTATGGAATTAAAGTATGGATAATTGCTAAGATGGTCCTGTCAAAATTTCATGTTTTTTACAAATCAGTCACTTGCATATCAATTTGTCTCAATTTAAGGACTATTACAATGTGTGTTGGCTTGATGTGCTAAATAATAGATTGCTTTTCAATGTCAATGAGGACATGACCAGTTAATTACTTAAGTGAGTAAAATAATTTAATAACATGTCATTATCATGCTACCCTACAAAATATATCAACGGTTAATTGTATATATCAATAATTTTTTTTCTTTTTATTTTTTTGTGACATTTAAATAATTTTATGCCATGTATCTAATGTAAGTTTGTTTTTCTAAATTTCTATTATATGTGTAAATACATTAAATATTCGCTGGCGAGAGTATTTACCAAATAAATAAATATTAAGTAGTAATTGCAAAAAAAAAAAAACAAAAAAAACGAGATGAGTTGGCTGTTAGATTAGACTGCAAAAAAGGTACACGAATTTTGACTACTAAATGAATGATAACGTGTCACAAAAGACGAAGAAGTTTGGGAAAAAGGTAAAAAAAAATATTCCGTTGCCGGGAATTGAACCCGGGTCTCCTGGGTGAAAGCCAGATATCCTAACCACTGGACGACAACGGAACTGCTGACATCATATTGGTTTCAGTAATTATCATCTGAAAATAATATCGAGACTCAGTATCATTATCGTTATAGAGTAATGCTCGCCTACCCACGGTGAACACATGTTAATATGACCGCTGCTTATGTGGTATGTACACATTAGTGATGTTAATATTTTAAAAAAAATACATCATCAATATGTACATGTTACATAGGCGGTAGACATATTAACATGTGCTCATGCTACATAAGCGGTGAACATATTAACATATGTCCACTGTGGGTAAGGGAGAATTACTTATCATTATATTATAATTAACGACAACAACAATGGCGGGATTGATTAAGAGAAAATGGTTAACAACATTATAGTAAAATGTTGATAATATTAATATAACATTGCGATCATTGGATTAAGGTAATATTTCGAAAAAAAAAAGTTGATATTTAATTAATATTAATTTCACACTAGATATTTTCAATTAAATTACTGATTGTATTTTGGTAGCTTAAATTAAATTATGTTATGAGTACATGTCTGTCTTTCTTATATTGAAATATGTTTAATATTTTTTTTTTTAAAAAAAAAACTTTTATTCTCAAATAACTTATGCAACAATCAACATTATTTATGCTTCATGAGACAATTTTTTGAACGAGAATTAAGGGTTTCTTATGTTTTGGATGATGAATGTGAGATCTGATTTATTTAATTGTACAAAGAATAAATTGAGATGGTAAGATTTTTATGCAGAGCACCTGTGCTTGAGCATTTTTTTTTTTTACTTTTTTTTTTTTCTTTCTGGCTGGTGATTATAAAAAATAAAATAAAATACTACCAAGTTTGTATGGTATTGGTGAAAGTCTTGGTAATTAAATTAGTGTGAAAGTTCACACTAAAAGATTTATGCTAGTTATACACTTATAAAAAAACTCGATATAATTTTTTTTATCTCGATACTTATTTTTATAATTATCTAATTATTTTAATGGCATAAAAAACTCTTCAAATCGCGTAAACAATTGTTTTAATAATCATAATAATTCTAATATTCTATTTCAAACAATTATTGGTCATGATTTGTTAAATTTATAAAATTCGCATTATTAGTTAAATTTGTGCCATCAATACAACGATTAAATATTTATAGCTATATTATTTGTTTTATTAATTATCAAATTTGTAAAATGTGATATGCATATTATCGAACTTACGACTTCAAACAAAATATACATATATGTGATTTGCAATATTTTATTTTCATATATGCATGTGCACAATATTGAGTACTTATTTGTGACAAATTAGAAAGTCAAAATTAAGATTACACGAGAAAAAAATAGTACAAGACAAAAATAACTTAAAATTAAGATTACACGAGAAAAAAATAGTACAATTACAAAAATATTTTTTTTAGTTGTTGGCAAAATAAATAAATATAAAAATAAAAAGAAAAAAGACAAAATAAATAATTATTTCAAAACAAAAAAAAAAAGAAAAAAGAAAAATACATGCACG